TCTGCTCCTGTTCAATATTAAAGGCTCATGTGTGTCTGCTGATTTCCAGATGATATAGCTGCACTCCTAGGAAGTGTTTGGAAACTAGCAGTTATTGATTTTGTCCCTTACACTTCTGATTGAAACCTGGAAGTAAAGCGCATGACTTCTGGGAAAAAAAAAGACAATTTTAAGTCCAAAAATACCAGCTTGGCTTTGTGGTTTATAAGCTGTAAAAGCTTCATATTGATGCCCTCCTAGTTTTAAAAACAGAGTGACAGTCCTCTCTGAAAGCTGTGCAGTAACACAGAGCTGGGGAAATCATTGGGAAGCTTTCTGGTGCTTTTGCAGAATCAGGATTTCCTTTTTTTTTTTTTCCCCCCTTTAATACACTTTTTGTTAAATTGCTCCATCTAAAACGAAGTAGGGGTTAATACACATTTTGCTAAGTAAGAAAAACAACCCAAAAAAAGGCCCCAGCCCAACACTGGAGGCTCAGCCCAGGAAGATGGGAATTCTGAGATAATATTCAATGTGCCCAAAGGGACAATGCTGTCTCTTGTTGTCACCGTCTATATTTAGCCACCGTGCTCATATGCAACTTAAAATACCTAGAATAGCAAGAAGAAATTTTTTTTTCCCCTTCATTTGAAGTGGTTCAGTGTAGGGTTGTTAATTTTGGCTTATCACAGCTGACACTTGAGTAAAGGGGGGAGAAAATAGCGGTTTGAAGCTTTAACTCCCTCCACATGTGCCCCTCTGAGGAGCTCTCCTGACTCCTGCAGAACTTTCTGGGCTGCCTTAAATTATGTGCCCCCCATTTAGGAGAAGTTCACAGGTCATTTAGTTGATTTAAAATCCATTGTTGTTTGTGCAGCTGATAAGGGGTGAAAAAGCTATTAGTTAACAGACCCTGCTTGAGAAAAAAATGTTAATAATTCCAGCTTCCTACTCACATCAACTGGAATTCTTCTGATCAGTTAATGTAAACAGTGTGATTTGTGCTTTAATACTCCAGCTTACATGAAAATAAGCAATAATTTTCACACTTCCAGGAGTGTTTCATGCTGTTGCAAACTAAGTTTTTGCATTTTACCCAGTTACTGAAAAGTTAATGAAGTACTTCTGTATGAGAATCTGGCAAATATTTATGTTTTAGGGACATATTGCACACTTCAGTGCTGGTTTTCAATGGGAAACGCTCCCAAGCATCAGTTTAAATCTGTCCAAAAAAATTGGGCAAAAAAATGAGAGAGAGAGCAAAGTCCTTGAGGAAATACTGGAGAAATTGTTTATGGGGGAAATGACCTTGGCTGGTTTGGATCCCACTAATGGCCTATTTATCCCCAAAGTGAACTCCTGGTCAAAAGGGATGGGGGAATTGGGAATTTGGAGCAGGAGGGTTGTGCTGAGCAGCCAGCAAACCTCAGCAATCCTTGCTCCAGCTGGGAATCTGTGGGAGCACAGCCCTGGGAGCTCACCCAGCACAAAGAACCACCCAAAAAATTCAGATTCTAGGTGTGCCAAGGCTGGAAGGAATGAGATGGCAGAGCAGGGAGCTGGTCCATGGAGTCACACTCGCAGCTGCAACTTGACCCAGCAGATATTTTTGTCAGTGCAGTGCTTTCCCTGCATCTGCCCTAAGGAAAAACCTTTTCATGGAATGCAGCTGAATGATACCTGCTCTCTCCCCAGAGGTGCTAACAGTTGTTTATGCTTCCTCTATCTGATGATGGCACCAAAATGTTTCCTTGTTCTTACACAAACTTTGGGAGCGGCGTCAAAAATAATCTTGTCTGTTTTGCTGGATCACTGGCACGTGTAAATCCATGGCATGGGTGAATATCTCAGTCCTCAGGTCTGATGGACCATCAAATGCTGCACAAACCATTCCAAAATCAATTTTAAAAACAACCAATTACATCTTTTCATAAGTGGATTATCAGGATGCAATAAATTGAAGTTATAAAATCAGATAAATTGCTTGATTAACCACCACCAGTTCAGAGATTCTTTGATGTCACTTGCCCAGTTTTAACTTTTTTTCCCCCGCTCACGGTGGTCCTCAGTGTCTGTCCTGGCCTGGCTAAGAGGGAGCTCCGTGGCTCAGAAATGTCAGCATCTATAAGGTTGTAGTCAGGTGGGAAAACCCGATATGCTTTGGGTGTTAGGAGTGCTTATTCAAACACTGCATTTCCAGACACGGTGTGCCTTCAGGAATTTCAAATAACCTGTTTTAACTGCACGGTGTTAATAAGCAGCTGGGTAAGATACAATCTCCTCTGAACAGTAGCTTTTTCTTTCACTATTTTATCTGCATTTCCTAAGAGTGTTTCACCGGATGGAGCGTGACCGTGCTTATATTTTGTGTTGGCAGCTCTCAGCCCTCTGTGACTCTGCCCCACTGTTCAGAGCGACCTTCATCATCTGCTGAGCTTTCACCAGGGCCATTATTTGTAGAAATACAAATCCTCCTGCCCAGGAAGAGGCTGGCTTTGGATATTTGCTTTAAATGTCATTCAAAAGTGAGCCCTGTAGTGGTTTTTTGTATCCAAAACTCAGTGTTGGCTTCCAGTCTTTTGAGTTTGCTCACCCTGTTTCACTCCTGGCTTTGAGGAGCTCCTGCCTTGAGCCCTCAGTGGCCCTGGATGTCCCTTTTTAAGGAGTGTTAGGAATATTTAGCTTAAAGAAGGTGCTTGAACTTGGTGTACCCTTTGCTTTGGATGCATGGAGAAGGTTTTGGATGCAGCTAAAAGCCTTCATTATGGTATCACATGCTGCTGGCTTTGATGTATACACTTCAGCAACTTGTAAAAATGATCAGATGTATAAAAGATGGTGATAGGAAGAAGTTTATTGAGTATTTCTCTGGATAAAGGGTGTTGCAGGCATTTCTGGAATCCCTTTGTAAGTCCCTCTGTACATCAGTTGGGCAGTTTTGACCTTTTTTTCTTTTTTAAGTGTGGAGTTTGCCTCTATTGCCAGTTTGTGCTTGACTTCTCACAGCACTTGGTGTTGCTTGGTATTTCAGGTAATAAGTGATGGAAAACATCTGCTGTTTGGTGAGGTGCACTTTCAATGACAGCAGAATAGTGTGAATGAGAACATGAGCTCCACAGCATCACAGTCTGGGTCACTCCTCACAGAAAAGTATTGCTGAGAGGCAGGAGGCACTGACAAAAGTTATTTTTTACTAAGTGTATCTTAACTCAAGTTTTTTTTTACTGCCTTGCAATGAGTGGGAAAATGCTTTTGAGAAAAGTAGTTGTCAGTTTGTATCTAATTTAGCAGTGCTGCAGCTGGGGGAAGTTTGCCACAAAGCCAGGAATAAGGTAAAAAGTTTGAAGCTTAGGTTAAAACGATGGCAGATAACTTGATCTGTAGTTGCCATATATAGTCATGCAAGAAAAAGTCTGTAGGAATCCTCCAGACGTTTATGGACTTCTCTGATTCATCTGTTGGAGCCAAACAGCTCCAGCCAAGAGATAGAGAATTTGTTAAACTGCATTAAGTTCCTAAATTGCTGTAGCCCAAAGGAGCAATTCTTCCTTTTATAGGGGGAAGAGTAGGAGGGAGTAGGCAGGGAGGATGGTACATTATGAAGTCTCTTTTGGTAAGAGTTTCAAGAGATGAGTAACATTCTAGAGCTCTTAAAAAAACAAAAAAACAACAACAACAAAAAACCAAAACACAAACCACAGACAAAAAACTTGAATTAATTTCCGTTGCTCTCATCAAAAGCTGGCTGTCTAAATTTAGCCATTTCCTATAGATGCTCAGCTTATGCTGGCAACAGTCAAACTGTTTGTCCTCAAGTGCAATTTGTCACCTCCCCCTTCTAAGTTGGTAGAAGATAAGCCTGTATTAATTCTGCTGATTTATTATTATACAAATGTGCCTCATTTTAATCTGCCATCGAGCTGATTGTGCTTCAGCAGCGCCCGGGAACCGCTCGCTCCAGCTCCCCGTGTCTCCCTTCCTCATCTCCCATCCTCTGGACTCCTCTTTTCCTGCTCTTTTTATCTCCTTTCTCCTCCTCCAAACACTGGAACAGTTCACAGTTCAACAGCTGAATTTGGGAATTAATCCCAGCTGAGAGTCTATATTACAGTTGTGAGGGGATGCTGCTGCTCAAAAGCGCTTTATGTGGGTTTTTTGTTTCTGAAGTTCAACTAACAAACAGTAAATGCATTGAGTAAGTCTGTAGTGAGCCCTTGCTTTCTTTCATCTGGATGATTCATTCCTATCTACTGTGTGCTCCCAAAGCATGTGCATTATGGGCCTGAGCCTGTTTCCATAGGAATTTTGCCAGGAAGCGTAAAGGCAGCAAAAGTTTGTTTTCTCCAAATTGCTTCACTCACTGAAGCAACATGAAAAGCTCTGTGCTGTGTTTTTTTATTTAGGTCAGCAGGATGACAGACTAATTTCGAAGTGTTTTTACCAGGTATGCTAAATTAGATGTAGTAAAACCTTTGGGTCTGTATCCTGATGTTTTTGAGGTTGTCAAATTTTACTATTTTTTTTTTTTTTCCCCCTTTGAATTTCTCATCTTTGGAATCTGCAAGTTATCACATTAGCTGCATCCAAAGGGCGAGGCCTGAGCCCACAGCCAGTGACTCCCTGCATGGAAGAAGTCACACAGAACATAAAGACAGCAGAGATAATGGTCATGAGAGTTTTAGCAAATACAGGACATGTATTTGCAGGACAGCAGGCTTTTTACCCAAGTCCTCATGAAACAACTTGTTTCTTGTAGGAGCAACTGGCTTTTGAATAAAACTGGATGGTCAGGATCAAGATTAAGAAGAAAATCTTATCAAAAGATTAGTAGAGGATTGCGTAGTATTGGATTTTCTTGCATTGAAATCAAAGCAAAGGGCTGACTGTAATGATAGAAATCAGTAAATACACCTGTGTTCTTACATGCAGGTATGTCAGAGTGTGATTAATGCACGGGCTGCTCACAGCTACATTTGTAATCCATGTGCAAAAGATAAGTAAGGAAAACAATTTTGCAATACCTGATGTCCCAGCAGTGCCTCCTCCCCAGTTCCAGATGGTCTGTAGGGATCCATGAGGATCCTGGCTCCTCGTTATTATATTGAACACAGAATTCTTCTTCTTGGAAACTTGACTTCAAAGCAAGATCTTTGCACCCTGGAAATCAATAACAAGTTTTAAATCATGAATGTTTATTAGTAATCTCACTTTTCCTAAATGAAGCAGTTCATTAGGATTCACGATTTCTGAATGAATTTCTGAATTTCTATCCATCTCCTTGAGATTGAGGAGAAATCCCAGTCCCACGAGCCCGGTGCTGCCAGACAGCTCCAGCTCCTGATCCTTCATCCCAGGAGGCTGAAGTAGGGTGCACTCTGATTCCAGCCCTGCTTGTGGGGAGGGAATCTAGAAAATTACAGCTGCAATTATGGTTTCACATTAAATATTCTTCTTTCTAAATCCACCGTGTGAAGCATTAGGCTGTGTTTGAACTGGTGTTGTTAATTGGACCACAGCACTTAGGTGCCTCTTCTGCAGAGTCATGGCCCCTGTCATTAGCCTCTCGTTAGACACGTTAATTTTTTAGGGCTCATCATAATTACCTTTTTTCAGAAGTTCCCTATTTTACACTGAAGAGAAACCTCTGATCTGCAGGCTGTAATTCTGGATAACCAGGGGAGCGTTAGGAATACTTTCTCTCCAGACTTTGAGAGCTGGAAATGCAGTGGATGGAGAATGAAATCCTGCAGGATGTGATTTGGGAGGAGTGTTCAGGATCTTTTTCACTGTTACACAAGTCATCCTTTCCTTTTTTCCCTACTGAAATTTTAGTGACCAGGCTTTCATTTCATTAGAATTACCTCCTTCCAAAGCTCCACCTGAATCATTTTTGTCTGAACTAATTTTTTTGTTTCCTAGCAACTCTACTTTTTAAGTTCTGCATAGTTCCTGTTCAATGTTCAATGTTTCAATTTCCTAACCACTGGTTTATAAATGACACCAGGGTTGTCACATGATGCTAAAAAGCTTAGTTCACCACATTAATTTGTAAAGTTAGTTAAAAAAGTCCTTTTTCTGTTCTGCATAGTGTGTGTGTATATACACACACACTTCCATACATATATATGGGTGCAACAGTTCCTCTCTGGCAGGGTGGCTTTTTAAACACTTGTGAAGGTCCCCAGGCTGTTTGGACGTGGCTGCACAGGCCCAGAGTAAACCTGTGAGCTTTTTGTTTATTTGAGCTTGGAAGAAACCGTAAGAGGATTCCATTAAGACTCGGGCAAATTCCATTGAAAGCCAAGTCCCAGCGCGGCGAGGAGGCTCCTTCCCAGATGCTCCTTTTTCCCCAGCTTGGGAAGAGCACAGTTTGCACCTTGCCACTGAAAGGGGCCACAGGACCAGCCCCAAAATCCTCCCTCCTGACCCCTTTCCCCATGGCTGTGTAGGACCCACGTTGTCTTTGGTAGAAACCGGGGAATTTCCACAAAGAAACTCTTGAAACTTCTCCGTGGGGTCTGCTGTCCCTTCCTTTGGGATTGTCACGTGGCTGCAGTCTTGCAAAATTGTCTGAAGTGGTCAAACAGTAAAAATTCCCTCTCTTTTCAAGGAAGCCCCATCAGTGTTTATTCTGCAGGCCCTGCTTTGTAAGCTCTCTCCCCCTGAATCACAACGCCCAGGGTTTCGCTCAATGTTCCGCTCGAAGCTGAAAGTCTGCGCTCGCTAAATCAGCCCTTCACAAATGGAATATTTTTTCACTTCTTGCTGGGTGGGTCCATACACTGAAAAATAGGTCAAGAACAGTAATCTAAATCTACTGCTAATAAATAATTAAAGCTAATGGAATTTGCACAAGATCTGTGAGCTTGAAATATTTCCAAAAGTACTGTGGTGTACGTTTTGCTACTGTAAATCAGGATTTTTTATTTATCATTGTGCTAGGTTGAAACATATCTATAAATGTGACTTAAAAAGAGGTTTTCTTTGTACAGAGAAAACACTGGCATGTTAGTGTATTGAAATAACTAAAAATATCACAGAAGATTGATAAGATCATGATTCATTCTTTAATGATCGGATTTCAAGTAAATACTTCAGCAGCCTTAAGCAATAGGAGGTTTTATATCTCATTAAATCAAAGTGTAAATTGAGCAATAAATTGTTTACTCATATAATTTACTTTGCCTTATATTTTAGGAATTAAGTAAGTCATCTAAGCTACTGTATAATACCTGTTTGAACAATTATCTGGGATTTCAGTTGCATCTCTTTTAGATTAAAGCAAAGTGGAACTTGCTGGAACTAATTAAATAAAGACTTAAATGTTTCCTTTAGTACACCCCCAGTCACATGTACCCAGGGTTTCTGGTGGGAAAAAAATTGGAATATTCTGGATTTTTTCACAATACACAGAAATAATATTTAAAACTTGTGCACTGGTAGGTGAGAGTCTGAGTGATCCCAACCCCTTCACCCATTTTCCCATAGCAGGGCAAAGCATCTGTGCTTGCTGCCTCTCTCTAATTAACCAGCAGAACTGCTTACTCCTAATTATAGTTAACTTGCTGATTTGTGTGTTTCATGGTGACAAGTTGTGTCCTTGAAGTACACAATAATCAAACACACCTCAGAAGTCTATGCCAGCGTTCTTCCCAAATCCTTCATGCTTGGCTGCCTCTCACCTCTCCCCCTTTCAGCTGTATTTATGGGAAGCTCAGCAACATTCTGGAGATAATAGCGGGGTGGATGGAGTGTGTGGAGCCCTGGCTGGGAGGGCACGTGGATAAACATCCTCCCAATCCCTAGGAACAGACATCCACCCTCCCAGCACGCTGCCTCTGGGGAGAGGGGCATGAACCTGGCACGCAGTTTTTGACAGGAGAGCTCCCCTTCAGCTGTGCTGTTCCTTAGAATGGAGTCCTGGTGTGGTTTGGGTTGGAAGGGACTTTAAATCTCATCTCATTCCACCCCTGCCATGGGTAGGGACACCTTCCACTAGCCCAGGCTGCTCCAAGCTCCATCCAACCCGGCCTTGAACACGTCCAAGGATGGGAAGTGTTTGGTGTTGGTTTTATTACAATTAATTACAAACACCCTCCTGCACAGCCAGTACATCCTGGGGGTTGTCTGGAGGTTGTTCTATGCTGGATTTTTTTTCCTTTTCTTTCTTTTTTTAAGTTCTTACAAGACAGAATCTGGGGTCAGGCTGTGCAGCCCATGCCAATTTGGGCACTTGTCAGTGCTTCAGACCTCAAGTAAATTACAAATCCAGTGTTGGTAGTCTGGCCATTGCTATGTCCTTTGTACTCTACACAGGGTATTAAGATCTAGATAAATAATATAGTTTAGTTGTCAGAAAGACAAGCATTTGTTGCCCAGGATTTTAACACAGATTTATTCTTGGTTTATTTTCTGCTGAGTTATTTTTAATGAGGATGGAAAGGGAGTTAAAAATTATGTGGATTCAGATTTCATTGTTTAGCTACTTGATCAAAATATAAACTCATTGTTTTTACTCTTGTAAAGAGGAAATGCTATATTAGCTTTCAGCCATCAGATTTGATTCAGATAATGATACAACATCCTAATTCATGGGTTCTTCATCAGATACTGAGTTTGTCTGTGAGAGAGCCCTTTTCAGAAAACTGCTTTACCCCTGATAAATCATCCAGAGAGAAAGACTGCCTGTGTTTAGATGGCATGGAAAAATAGGCTAATAATGGGATTGTATTCCTATACTCAAATATTTCAGTGTGTTTGTGTTGATAAATTATAATTTAATGTTCAGTTGCATGGACCCTTTTCAGCTGTTCTGCTTGGCTGCTGTGGTTTGGTAGCTTTGTGAGGGCTGGAGCCTGGATGCTTTTCCTGTTTTGATCACAGCCCAGGCAGTAAAGGCCACCACACTTTAAACAGATAATAAATCACCCGATGTCCTTGCTAACCAACACTGCAGATTCCCCCGGGCCTGAACTGAACGTCCTTCTTCCTGTTCAATTTAGTGTAAAGAAGGTAAAATTCTGTTTGAAGTTCAGTGTAATATTTTGAGACAAAGCCTGATGAGAAATTTTTCCAAACTGCCAAAAATAAATCTCCCCAGCAGAGCTGTGACTCGAGGCATATGTATTCCTGACTTCTGTCTGTTTATTTTTATTTCCCTTTGGTTGTGAGCTGTCTCAAGTTTTGATGTTGTTTTGCTGAGGAAGGAATTATAAAAGTACCCTATAAACTCTTTCCTATAAACTCCTTCCAAGGGCAAGCCAGGAAGAGAGGGGAGAGAAGAAAAACTGGTGTGAAAAAGGTGTTTATGCCTTTTGCTGTGGTGTGTGCGCCATTTATCCGCTGAGTTTGAAACACTGGTTCACATTCCTGCAGTTCCCTTTCCTGGCCTGTTTGCTCTGGGAGGAGGATGGCAGTGGGATGCTCTGTCTCAGTTGTTCAGCTGCAACAGATTTCAAGTTATTGTGAAGATTTCAAGTTGTCAAAGCATTTTACCCCGTTCAAGTGTGTGCTCTGATGTGTCCTGGGATTGCAGTGGGATAACCCATTGCTTGCCAATGGAGCTGAATCACACTGAGCTGCCTTCTCCTCTATCAGGAAATATTGTAAAAGCAGTTTTACCCCTACCACAAGCTGCTGTCTGAATCCAGCACTTTTTTTCCCATGATAGCATGAATTTTGCTTGGTAGCATTCTGATTGCTGGGATTAGTGTTTAGTATCCTGAATTTTCTAAATGAAAGCACTTGAAAGGTCTTCTCCCTTTTTGTTTCTGTTTTCGTGGCTTTGGGATGCTCCTTCTATTCCTCTCCCCATCCCTGCTTTTCTCCCTCTCTGCTGTTACAGCCAACAACAACATCCCTCATTATTCAAGATGAATATGAAGGTGAAGTCCTGACATAGTTTATATCATGAAATAAAAAGTGCTGCAAATCCTGTCTTTCAGAAGTCAGGATGTGCCAGAGGAGGCAGTTAAATAGCAGGATCTTGCCATGGACACAGGAGCAAGGGTGACATTCTCCTGCCTCTGGATCTGGGATTACATCTCCTGTATATCTGCCTTCACTTCTGATATCACTTTTCTGGCTGGTGCCAAGCAAGTCAGTAAATTCAGCGGCAATATCAGGGACAAAAGCCCTACACCCAGTGATTTTCAACCAGCTGAGATTTTTATTTCAAGAAAAGTTGCTTTGCTTGGATGATATAATTTTTCCTGATTTTATAAAGGGTGCCGGTATCTGGGCTGTAAATCTAATTCTGTTTGTAATTTCACTGGGCACTAAAACCACCTCTGCCATATTTTGGCCTTGAATGGGGGCATTTATTTTGCCATCAGTGGTTATTGTTACTTTCTTCAATGTCAGCATCATCAGATTACAAAGAAAACATGTTCTAAAATGTGCACAGCCCTCAGGTCCCCCTGAGGAGGCAAGGAGTGGGGAAAAGCTGCTCAACCTGCCAGTTTGCTTTGGTAGAAATGTAATTTGTAGAAGTTTTTGATCCACAAGGACGGTGTCCAACCTTTCTGTGTCCCAAAACAGGCAGCAGGATAGATCAGGAAGCGTTTGGGTGACTTGGCTTGGCCTAAGAACAGAAGCACAGTTTGGTTCAGTCCGAAGAGGGAGCTCACAAAGCTGCAATATTATCCTTGACTTGATGGGGATTAAGCTGTATTTTAGTGCAATAACCATGTCAGAAGTGAAATTTGACTGATCATTTGTCTTTGATAGCTTCATTTGCCTTGGGCCCCCTAAGCCATTTCTCAGGGAGTGGGAGAAGTCCTGATACTCAACTCTCTGCATGACTTGTCATTTAAATGACAAAAATCACTTCTCTCAAAAGCCTACTTTTCCTTCAGGAAAATCAGATTAAACCCAGGGCTGAGAGTGTTTTGGTGAGTGGTTTAACAACCAATATGTTGCATGACTGTAGATGTAAAAGTAAATGTGTTGGAAAAGAGAATTTCCCAACTTTTTAAGGTCATCTTTTCTGAAAAGCTTCAGGCCTCAGCAGGCCCTTTTCTTTATGGAGAAAATGCTTCAAATATGTCTTTGTGACCCCCTGCACGGGGTTCAGGTAGCTCAGGGACTGTGGCCTGTGTGCAGGTAGGAAGATTTCATGGTTACTGAAGCAGTTGGTGACTGTTCCAGCTGTGGGCAGTATTCCCAGAGCATTGTAGGACTCAGCACTGGAGGGGTTGTCCAGAGTCTGATCAGATCTCACCTGGCCTTAAAAATGGGTCTTTAGCACTCATTTAGTGCTAGTTCTGCTCAGCTGAGCCTTGGAAATCTCCAAGGATGGGAATTCCACCCTTTCCCTGCAGCAGCATCAGTGCTGCCCTCTCAAGTGATGCAGCACCAGGTTATTGGTTTAATTCTCTTGCAGATTTATTTCCAGGTGTAAGCGCACTACGAAGTGGCTGCTTGTGCCTTGTCAGTGGCAAAAGCAGGAATGCAGCATCTTGGCTGTACATGACTAATAGTGTCCTCTGCAAAGTTACTGAATTTTAATCTTCAGGCACACACAAAATAAGAATTATGGAATTTGTAAGTGAATTAGACCCAAACCAGCTTAGAATTGAAGCCAGAGAAAATTTTATGTACGATAAATATACCTTTTTTGTCCTAATTTATCTCAGTTGCTAAATAAAAATATGCTATAAACCTTTAGAGTGATTCTGTGGGCAGTATTTTAATGAATTGTGTAGCACTGAGTGTGTTGTAATTTGGAAGAAGAAATTTTGAGTTATACAGAAACCAACAAATAATACTTGTCATCTTCAATGAGCTCCAGTTCTCTGATGACTAAAGCCAGAGCACTCTTGGGAAAATAATAAATAAAGCAGAGATTTTACAAAATGGCAACACTTCTAGTTGAAATGATGGTCCAGAATCATCTTCCTTTAAGCCTGGCTTCCATTTGTGGGAATTTCCTTGGCATAAGTTCAGAGGTGTAGCTGCTGTGGAGGTAGATAGAGGCATTTACTGCTAATCTCATTAATGTTTCAGCTGAATTAGGAGACTGAAGGCATTCAGTGCTTACCCAGCACCACCACACTTTGGATAATTAATACCATTTGCAGCAGATGCAGGTGTATGTCAAACTGGAAATTCAGACCTGCTCAAAGTGAACTCCAGGTATAATTCTATTTTAATCAAAGCTCCCACAAAATGTGATCAGAATTTAAGTTACACTTGAGAACTGAAAATAACATTTAAAAAACATGATGATGACTTGTCCTGTGCATTTTTTGATGGGATATCCTGCTTTTGTCTTCCAGGACCTGCGCAAACAGGTAGCTCCATTACTGAAGAGTTTCCAGGGAGAGGTAAGAGCTTCTTCTGGTTCTTTGGATGTTTTCAGTGCTGCCTCACATGAGCCTGGTGTGCTGGCTGGGGGTGTGTGGCCAGCTGGGCACAGAGCCCTCAAGGCTCAGCCCTTTGCACTTTTTGTGTGCAGGGAATGTCAGCACCTCAAGGGAGCCTGGAGATGGAGAGGGAGCTTTAACAAGAGCACAAAGTGACAGGACAAGGGGGAATAGCTTCAAACTGTCAGAGAGTAGGTTTAGATTGGATATTGGGAAGAAATTCTTCCCTGTGAGGGTGGTGGGGCCTGGCAGAGGTTCTCCAGGCAAGCTGTGGCTGCCTCATCCCTGGAAGTGCTTAAAACCAGGTTGGTTTTAAACCTGAGCAACCTGGGATAGAGGAAATTGTCCCTGCTCATGGCAGTGGGGTGGAACAAGATGATCCTTAAGGTCCCTTCCCACCCAGGTCATTCTGTGATTCTCTGATATGCTGGGTTTGTGCTGGTCAATCTAAACTGGCTACTTCTCTTTGCTCTGAGCCTTCCTCTGCATCCCTGAGCCTTCCTGAGCATCCCTGAGCCTTCCTGAGCATCCCTGAACCTCCTGTCCCTGTGGCAGGGACCCAGGTGGCACATCCAGCTCGCTGGGCCTCACTGACCCTACAGTTTGAGCTCTTAATGAATGCAGTGTAGTGCACTGATAAAACACGAAGCTTTTCAGCTGGAAAAGATTGTATTCCAGAGGGCTGATGGAGAACCTTGGGTTGGCAGGTGTTTGTGGGAAAGGCTGCAGAAGGCTCCAGCCCCGCTGCCGACTTCTTCACAGCCCTGACCGAGAACACAGGAGCAGAGTGCTCACGAGTTTAAAAGCCAACTGTTGTTATTCTGAAGAGTTTCTATAGGCAAAGGCAGCTGGGCCAATTAGAGAGATTTCCATTTTCACTGTGGCCAGATGGGAGCCGTGGTTCTGCCGCTCGGAAGGCGCCGGGGAGGGAGGGTGGGAATTACATTTGTGCCTGTAAACTCCGGCCTGCGTGGGGTGCTGGATGGAACTTTGAGCTCACACTGGTATGCACTACACAGCTCTGCCCCACAAGAATTGTGTTCTAGCACTTCCTCAATCCCTGAGTTGTTCACTGACATTAGATTGTGGCAGTTCCATCAGCACAGGGAAGTTCAGGAGTGTTTGCAGGAGAGGGATTTCAGTGCACAGCTCCCCTTAGTGAGGCTTGCATTCCTGATCACTTCTACGTCCTGCTAAATCTGTGTCCCAGCTAGGCAATAATCCCTCATTTAAAAACAGCATGCTACTTTTTGTTTTACAACCTGATTTCCCAAGTATTGCTAGAAATAAATAAATAAACAGGATAACTCTGTCCTTGATATATCCAACAGACATTTGTGAGAACAAAGAATGACTTGCGTGAGTCCGTTTGCCAATGGAAATTTACACTTTAAAATTGCTCTGAGTGCACTGCAGTGCTCTTAGAACCTTTTCACTTCAGTTTCAAGCTTGCAATGCACTGACTGAAAAGTGCATGTGTGCTTTCAGCACTGTTCTTTAATGAAGGGAATGTCTGAGGATCAAGTAAGAAACATAAATTTTGAATTTGGCTACAGTGAAGGAGATTCTCCCATTAGATCTTCCCTGGTGGAGACAGCTCCCTGTTACCTTGGTATGGCTCACACACACTCCTCTCCTGTAGTTTTGCTTCACTGATATAAAAGTGAAGTTTATTTTGGTATAAATTCAACCTCACCAGAGTAAAATTTGTTGTTGTAATCCTCTGTTACGTAAATGAAGCAGAAATACATTAAAAGATTGTGCTGCTGAATCTCTGAGCTGGTGTTTCCAGTCTCCTTAATCGAGACAGGGTTTCAGAAACCTAAAAAACCTGAACTAATCATGATTGACTACATAAATGCACCACATTAAACTGTGAATTATGGTATTTGATTATAGATGTAATTACTGTATCTTGTTTTGGAGACAAATCAAAATACTAAGGATATGAGCCTGTTCTGTTGAGTTATATTTGATTGTTCAGGATATAGATCTGGTTTCTGGTTGTTGTTAAGGTTGACTTCAGGAGATGATTGCTCTGGGTATCTCAAAAACAAGTTTTGTTGAGCAGATAGGCTTCTCTCCATTTCAAATCCACAGGAGATTCCTCAATTCCTGTTCCTTGAGAGGCTCAGGGAGCAACGCTGCTGGGAACAGGACACTCACCCTAGCAGCCTCCTGGGATTGCCTTGCAATAATTTATTCCCTGCCAGGGGATATTGAATGTCCTGGGAGGAGCTGGCAGAGAGACCTTTTGGTCACACAGTACCTGTGGGATGGGATGTGAGCAGGGGAGGAGGAATAGGGTAAGAGGTTCCCTGATTTTACTACTCAAATGTCAGGTTTCAGCCCCAGATTTTCCCCTGGAAGTGTTCAAGGCCAGGCTGGATGGGGCTCTGAGTAACCTGCTCTAGTGGAAGGTGCACATGGCAAGGGAGCTGGGGCAAGATGGGCTTTAAGATCCCTTCCAAACCAAACTTTTCAGTGATTCTATGATTCTGTGTTTTTTAAAAAAAAGATCAACAGCAGTGAGTAAATAAAGCAGAGAGAAGTGGTGAGAATAAATGTTTCCTAGAGCCCCTTGTGCTGAAGAGAGTGTCCTGGAGCAGGAGCAGGGAATGCTGTAGGAGCAGCCTCCATAGGCATTGTGGGTGGGAATAAGGAGCTTTGGGGCACCACCAGATCCTCACTCACAAGTGAGGAAAAAGGTTCCTGCCTGATGCAGTCTCTCCATTTCCCTGTGGGAGAGTGTCCAGCACATTTCTGCCTGCAACTCCTGTCTCCATCCCCCACTGCTGATGCTGCCCCATCCTTTGCTCTAACTCTGCTCTTAGACAGAGCTGGCTGCTTTTGGCATGGAATAATAAATCAGACTCCACATCAGAAGGGAAATGGGCTTTTGCCAGTCCCATGTGGGCTGGGCTGTCCACAGGGCTCTGGGCTCTAGGGAGGGCCAGCAGATCAGAGGATGGAGGCAGCTCCCTAAGCAGCACAGGTATTTAAGCAGCTTTACGTGGATATTGCTGTGTTCCTGCTCCCCACCCCCTGCCTCTCCTCAGCACTTTTTCTGGTGTGATCCCACGTTCAGCACAAAGTTGGGGTTTTTTCCCCTCTTTTTGCTGGCTTGGTTTCCCACCAGGTGGGTTCAGAGCAGCAGCTCAGTGCAAGGGAGAGGCCAGGAGAGCAAAGCCAGGGGCAGGAGCAGCACAAATGTGTCAGCTCAGGTTGACTTAAACTGTCCTTGAACTGTGCCTGGGTCAGCCTGATGTGACTTAGAGAGAGGGGAAGTTAAGCTCAGGTATTTATGTCCCCTCCCAAGCACGATTTATGGGAGCTGCTGGTAAACCTGGGGCCAGTTGGTTTTTTTAAACAAACCCACAGGTCACTTTAGCCAATTTTTCTCTTTAGTTTAAGCATGGAATGTTGATACTTCCCCCCAGTATTTTCCCTTTATATCATATGAATTTATAAATACCGGACAAAGCAGAACATTCTGTATTCCATAGTTATTTATCTCATTCATTCAGATAAAAACTGTTCCAGTTATCAAATACTCAATTTCCATTAGTACTTGGAAATAACCTTTTTTTGTATAGATCTCAGTGCTTTAAGTAACTGGATTTTTTATGATAAGAGTTAAAGTGAAAGCACTGTGGAATTTAGCATACTACAAATTTTCAAATGCATTCCTAGTTCAGCATAAACCTCTATTAATTCATCACTGGAGAATAGTTTTATTATAGTACTTTTTCCTTATTTAGGATCTTAATGGAAATTTGAAGGCAGTTTTCTAATTTAGCAGAATGTTGTGTCTGCTTCTGAGCTGATGGTATTGTTCTTTTGAAATCTGTGGGTAACTTTTCTGCCTTCTCTGGAAGATTTAAGGTCTGGGTGGTGTAAATAGGCTATTGTGAGGAAGACAGTTAAAAGTCATTAATTTCAGAAGTGTAAAATTCCTGTCATTTTGATCTTAAATCTCTGTCTTGCTTTTCCTTTTCCTTGCCATTAACTTGAGGATGCAACTTATTAATGGTTTGCTCTGCCTGTTGTGGGCTAAATACAGGACAGAATCAGGAAAGGTTAAAGAGCTTTACCATGCAATCATGACATGATTATTATATATAATTATCAAGGCACTCCTGCAAGCAGCCATCTGAATAAGCTGTGTTTTGGGTAGGTCACTGTGCTTTACCATGGGTATATCAATTGATGGATATTTGTACCTGAAATCCCCCCCCCAAAAACCCCCAAAACAACAAAAAAAGAAGGGATGTTCTTTGACGGTGTTAATTTACAGAACTGAAGTTGTGGTATGGAAATCTAATGTTGGAATCCGTATTTGTGAAGTCATCAGACAGATATTTTAAGGTTGGGAAAGGATTTCCTGAGGTCATTAGCATTCTTTTCATGTGGCATAAGAGCACTGTCCAACAGTAATGCAGTAATCCCTCATTTGGAGAACCCTCTAAGGCACAGACTCCAAAACAACGATCTGGACTTGATGTCTGTGAAAGCCATTTCTCATATTCTTCTCCCAGAGCAAGTACTTTTAAGGGTATTGCCATTCTGATGAGACCACTCTGGCTCCCCACTCAGCTGAATTGCTCTTTAAACTATTAATTTGGTCAGTCGAGTAATTTAATAATTTTCCATATGCAGACAACAGAAGCTGAAAATCAGTTTGATGTGCTGGAACTACTAATCATGTCTTTGAAGGAGTACTCTAATAATGTGTGTGCCTAAACCACTTCAGACCTACGTTCTCTCTGCATTTTGAAGGACTATTCCTGAGCTGATACTCATATTTTTCTATTTTGCCCCCTTTAATTTCCTTATGTTAAACTTCCAAACCTAATTAATACAATTTCTTTCCTGTACGTTCACTCCATGATGGCTCAATTAGAGCAGCAGTAGAACTGTGGTTCAATATTCAGGCCAACTTCATAATTGAAAACACATTT